GGAAATGAAAAGTTATTTAATCAAATAAAGTGCAGGTTCCAGACTTTCCTATTAAAGGAAACATAATCCATTGCACACAGTTTTTAACCCTCTGCAGGTGTGAGCAGCCACACTCCTTTCTTTGTATTCACACGCTTGTATTCCTCCTGGATCCTAATCACAACCATCGGAGCGTTTCATAGAAAGTAGTGTTATTGCGCTGCGCTTCAGTCTCTGCTCGTTAAGCAGAAACTCACATGTGTGTTTAGCAGGACATTCAGTCTCTGCTCGTTAAGCAGAAACTCACATGTGTGTTTAGCAGGACATTCAAATACCACACGTTGAAATGGTGGACGGCTGTCAGCGCTTCGTTCACTGAGAACATATTAACACAATAATGGACATTGTTCTGCAGCTCTTTAAACTCCATGACTGTCTGAACTCTGAGGGAACGACGTCTTCAACACCAGAGCCAACGGGTTTAGTACTTTTCAGTATTTTACAATACTTCAGAGGGTACTTTATCACATGTGTATACAGAATATACGTGTCTAATGGGGCTTTGTGTTATAGTTCAATATTTAAGCAAAATGTTCAGAGTCTGGTCGCTTTTAGGGATTCATCTTTTCATCATTTCAAAATCTGTATTTCTGTGGTTGCAGTGGTGGAAAGTAACTAAGTACAAACAATCCATAAAAACATGTCATCTGTGGAAGCCGTAGTACTGTAAAAAGCACGACCAATCATCTGAGCCGGCCCGGCTAAAATAACTGGATGGCCTACCTGCCTGTCAGCCTTCCATCAGGGCACAAACTTATCTCGTGCCCTCATTGGTCATGTGCGCGTTCGTGTGTGTTGGAGGAGGGGCTCTGTAAGGAAGTCTGAAGGAAGGGGCAGATTTTTTTCAGTTGTGTACTTTCAAATTCTAGCGCATTCAAGCTGGTTTCTCCATTCTTACCTACCCTACCTTTAACTGGAATTTTGAGGAACTTTATGCTACATTTTGGAGCCAAATATATTTGAGTTTTTACTCCATTAGTCACCAGTTTCCAGAGGTGAAAAAAGTACTCAGATCTTCCACTTTAGTAAAAGTAGAAGTACGCAGATCTTGTATTTGAGTAAAAGTAGAAGTACGCAGATCTAGTACTTGAGTAAAAGTCAAAGTACTCAGATCTTGTACTTGAGTAAAAGTAGAAGTACTCAGGTATTGTTCTTGAGTAAAAGTAGAAGTATGCAGATCTTGTATTTGAGTAAAAGTAGAAGTACGCAGATCTTGTATTTGAGTAAAAGTCGAAGTACTCAGATCTTGTACTTGAGTAAAAGTAGAAGTACTCAGGTATTGTACTTGAGTAAAAGTAGAAGTACTCAGATCTAGTACTTGAGTAACAGTAGAAGTACTCAGATCTTGTACTTGAGTAAAAGTAGAAGTACTCAGGTATTATTCTTGAGTAAAAGTAGAAGTACGCAGATCTTGTATTTGAGTAAAAGTAGAAGTACGCAGATCTTGTATTTGAGTAAAAGTCGAAGTACTCAGATCTTGTACTTGAGTAAAAGTAGAAGTACTCAGGTATTGTACTTGAGTAAAAGTAGAAGTACTCAGATCTAGTACTTGAGTAACAGTAGAAGTACTCAGATCTTGTACTTGAGTAAAAGTAGAAGTACTCAGATCTTGTACTTGAGTAAAAGTAGAAATACTCAGATCTTGTACTTGAGTAAAAGTAGAAGTACTCAGATCTTGTACTTGAGTAAAAGTAGAAATACTCAGATCTTGTACTTGAGTAAAAGTATAAGTACACAGATCTTGTACTTGAGTAAAAGTAGAAGTACTCAGATCTTGTACTTGAGTAAAAGTAGAAGTACCAGAGTGTAGGAATACTCTGTTACAGTAAAAGTCCTGCATTCAAAATGTTCCTCAAGTGAAAGTAGAAAAGTATTATCATCAAAATATAGTTAAAGTAGCGACAGTAAACGTAGCCATTGTGCAGATTGGTCCATTTCAGAATAATATATATGATATGTTTTATAATGATTGATCATGAAAGTGTTCTCAAAGCTGGTAAAGGTGCAGCTAGTTTGAATGACTTTGTATACTGCAGGGTAGCTTGTGAATATTCTGTATAATATAAAGAACTCTTTTGCTTTAAATATTGTATTCCTTTCGTCTCATGTTCTCCTCCTGATGGTCAGGCTGCTCATTCTTTAGTTTCTGTCGCCCTCTGGTGGTCAGTCTGTTAAAACAGGATCTTGAAGCATTGTTGGAAATCTAACTTCAATATTAGATCAACTTTATAGTCATTGCACAAATAAATGCAGTTTGCATCCAACCAGGAAGTGCAAAGAGAAGTAAAGTGCATGAGGTTTAGATAAACTCACATAACAAACAATGTAGTAATGTACATGCATGCATAAGTATAGTAAATATATTTGGATAATGTGCTGATTTAGAAGCACACCTGGTGCAGCTAGTAGGCTTATATAAGTTAAACACAGTTGTAATGAATAATAAAAACACATGTTTTGATAACTCACCCTGTGTTGCCTTCAATTCTTGAAAAAAGAGGAACATGGATTGCACGTTTTTGACGACAAAACTATATCTGTGTTTTAAATGGTAAAGTTTAATTGAAATTGCATGTGGTACATTAAACCAAATCCCCTTGACAGTCAAAATATATTTCTTCTGGCAAATATGTTTTATATTTCTGTCCTAACAAGTTTATTGAATCCCTGCTGTATCAACAATTCAACAGTGTCTTTGTATCTACTGGTACACATCTGTTCACACTCATGTAGATCAATACGTTGATTTCCTCATCAGGGAAACAAATGGAGAGGCTGCAGAAAATGTGTGTGTTTGAAGATCTCCAGGAAAAGGACATGGGTGTCACTTTGTTAGGAAGAGTAGTGGGGAATATTTGTTCAGACTCCAAAAACACGACTACATTAAGCGGGCCCTGCAAACAATACATACACATTGTTTATTCATACATATGCTTGACAACTAGTGCAGTAACTTTGCTACGCTGCTGCAAGGCAGGAGCATTCATTGCTTTACTATTCTCTATTCAATTATTCCTAATATCAAACGTGTCTCAGGTCCAAATTGCACCACTTGGGTTATCAGAAATACACCCAGGAAGTGAGAACAGTCCTCCAGATTGAACATGAATGTACAATTCTTTTTTTGTAATAAATTATCCTAAGGCAAAGTGGTGTTCCCAGCGTCCCCAGGATGAAAGACGCCTTTGGTTGTGGCTGAGTTTTGTGGCTGAGTTTTGTGGCTGAGTTTCATCTTTGTCTGAGCGAGGGCTACAAAGGGAAGTAAAAAAATATATAAATAACCGGGAGAGAGAAAAAAGAGAGAGGAAACTGATTTGTGAAGCCACAAGGTGATGTTTTAATCAGTCAGAAGGTTTGACTGATTAAGGTTGAGGTTTTATTGGTGTGTGTGTGTGTGTGTGTCGTCAGCAGAGGGCAGCAGCGACTTTAAAGGGGCCCTAATATGCCATTTTCTATATTTGCTCTTATTTCTTTTCACCTACTGTGTGTTTGATTTAAAGGAGCCCTTTTATGTGGGAGAGAAACTCCATCTGGAGGGAATTTAGCCGTTGGAGACCATTTACATGCACTAAAACCTATATATAGTAACCAGGACTGGACTTTAACCTGCTCTCACATCTGCACACTTATGTAAATATATTAAACAATCCAAATATGTAGATATGTCCATTCAAGTGATCAACGTTTTACCGTGATATCTTATTTCTACAGTTACTATAACAGTTTGATGAGTCCTATAGGGTGCATTTGATATATCGCAGTGCAGCATGGTAGAGTGGGTCAAGTTTGGCCAAAACAGAGGGACAGGCAAATCTATAGATGGTATCACCGCAGTCCAGCTGGGACAGGAATAATCCAGAGACCAACCTTTTACGGGAAGAAGTTGAAAAACAACATTTAAGTATGTAAAGGAAGCCAAGAGTGAATTTCCATGTCTTAGTTAAAACTTCAAGGTGTGTGTGAGTGTGTATGTGTGTGTGTCCCGTCAGCAGAGGGCAGCAGCGACTTTAAAGGGGCCCTAATATGCCATTTTCTATAAACTATAAAACAGAGTGTAATACTTTTGAATGAAAGCATGAGTAAAGTGGTAATAATGAAACATCAAAGTGTGGTTTACATTTTGCGCCACCTTTGCAAGTGTTTCTATCATTTCAAGTATGACATGTTATCCTTATTAAACATGGAGAAGCAGCGTTCAGTTATTATGCTCCAAACATCTGGAACTAACTCCCAGAAACCTGCAGGTCCTTTGAAATCCAGGCTGAAGACTTTTCTTTTCTTTGAATTGAACCATTCATATCTCACACTGCACTGTAACTTGTATGTCTTTTATACCTGTGTTATTCTATATGTAAGCTTTTATGTTTATTTGATTCTCTTTGCTTTTTAATGACTGTTTTAATATGGCTTTTAATTTGGATCGCTGCTGATGTTTTATCTTGTTCTCTATTTATTTTAATATTGTTGGTATGTTTTCTTCTTGTTCTGTAGATTCAAGATAGATAGATGGATAGTTAAGTACTTTATTGATCCCAATGTTTAAGACACGAGAAATAAACAGTCCAAAATATTCCTGAAATAGAAATTAAATAGCATTAAAAAGTACAAAAAATAGAAAAATATGGATGTGGAAATTATACATGTTTCAAGATTCAAGATAGTGATTAAACTTGCTTTGCCTCATGAAGTGACTGGCACCATTATACCATACATAAAAGTAAAATCACAGATAGAGAACTATTATAAGAACACTATAATAATATTACAAAATAATAAGGAAAAACATAGTAACATCGAAAATGAAATAAAGCAGTATTTACATTGAAATACAATGCAGTAAAAAAATCAAATATGCAGTTCAATATAAAATAAACCAGAACACCCTCCCCTCCCATCCTCTCTCTGGGGGAGGAGTCAGGGGGGAGTGGGCCTGCCTCGCGCTTTTAATACAGATGCGCTCCTCGGCGCAACCAGCGGATCCACGGAGACCCGGACACACACACTCACACACACACACACTCACACACTCAGACACACACACGGCACCATGACTGCAGCCAGCAACACCTACGACGTGGTGGTGGTCGGCGGAGGAATATCAGGTTGGTGCAATATCACAAAAACTTCCTCTCTCTGCAGGGCACACACAGATCCACACACATACAACCACACACACACACGCGCACACACATTGAATGTAATGTGCACGCGCTGTGTGTAAGGTGGACAGACAGCTGTTGCACTGAAGCTGTTTTCTGGTTGAATATAAAGAGACTTTATCAGGCTGGATTCGGTGTTTGCTTTCTACATCCGTTTTTCTCCGCCTCTTCCGTAAGCCCCTCCAGACACACACACACACACACACACACACACACACACACACACACACACACACACACACACACACACACACACACGGCGTGCACCGCTGTATCTCAGCCTGTTAAGTAACAGCTAATCAGCCACAGCATACTTTGTGTGACATAACGTTCAGACGGGAGGGGTCGTGGATTATTACGGGTTGCATGTGGAAGTCTTTCTGTAAATGCTTGTTTGTAATGTGTCTCTGAGCCAATTAGAGTCGCTGTGTGCTGCTGTGAATCATGCACGTCTGCTTCAGCATATGTTGTTGTCCTCTGAGCAGCTGTCAGGTGATGTAAGGCTGCTTACATCATGCATGTGAGTCTTGCATCAGTTAGTGTAGAACTGCATGGTAATACCGAGGTATTAGGGTGGATTTATTCTAGTTGCAACAATAACAGTGTAGTAATACTCTGATCATGGTGACGCTTCCTTAGAAAGCACACTGTCTTGTTACAAACACTTGATTTCATGAACAAGGGTGGTTTCTAGTTCCTGAGTAGTGATGTGCAGACTGACTCGGTTCTTTTGTTTTGATTTAAGTAAATAGATGCTTTTAGAACCTTATTCCTCTCAGAAGTATTTTCTAATAACGCTGTCCGCCCCTTTAGGGTGGGTTTAATATCTCTTAAAAACAACAAAATAGTACTATTGTGATTCCTGGTGTTCCTGGTGTTCCTGGTGTTCTCTGAAAGCAAACTGTCTTGTTAAGTAACACTTGATCCCATGTGTTAAAGGGTGGTGTCTAGTTCCTGGAATATAGTCATGTGCAGAGCAACTCTTTCCACTGAATCGGTTCTTTAAACCTGAATCATTTAAATCAATTTCAAACATGGCTCTTTTTTTGCTACCTGCACCACAACATTTCTCCTCAATGCATTACCAGTCATATATAACTGTGCATTCATAAAGGTAAAATATTAATTATATTGCATTGATTCAGCATGACACCTGCATTTAGGCAGGCTATGCAAAGCTTAATACAGTGTTACAGAAGTGTTAATGATCAACAATCGATAGGGCATATGTGCTGCGATCAGTAGGTGTTGTAATAGTGAGAAAAACATGTTTAAAATCATATGTCATGCCTCACATGAATAGTTTTCTTTGCAGTTCGATGTCACGCAAATACTGGAAAAAGGTATCACTGTGTTGCCGTTCTTTGTAGGTGGAAAAATGACTTTCTAACTGTAGAATTGGGATCTTTTGAGGTGCTGTAGTAAATGGTAAATGGACTGTACTTATATAGCGCTTTATCCAGTCTTTAAGACCCCTCAAAGCGCTTTACATACTACATGTCATTCACCCATTCACACAGAGCAGTGTACCTTACTCTAGGAACTAACATTCACACAGAGCAGTGTACCTTACTCTAGGAACTAACATTCACACACATTCACACACCGTTGGCCATGCCATCGGGAGCAACTCAGGGTTAAGTATCTAGCCCAAGGATACATCGACATGTTGACTGTACGGGCTGGGATCGAACCCACAACCTTCTGGTTGAAAGACGACCGCACTCCCTCGCAGCCACGTAGTAAATGTAGACGCTCGAAAAACCTTTACTTGAGTCTGATTCAGCCACTCGTTACTCGTGCATTCAGTGTCGTTGTGTCCGTGCACGCAACTTCTTTTGTTTTAAAGCTATTGCAACTCTGGGGGAAAAGGCAAGAGCACCAACAGCGTGTGGGAACAGTCTGGGATTCATTGGTAATCGTTAAAAACTAACTACAAAGAGTTGTTCCAAACTATTTGATCGTTCCCTTTTGCTCATCCCTAATGAAATGGAAGTATTCCCAAGCTGAATGTTGCTGTAGTCCAATAGTCTACAGATTGCTGTTATCTCATTAGGCCTGAAAGTTCAAAAGGGTGCACACGATAATAAAATAGTGGACCTTTAGCTCATGGAAAATGCATCTCCGAGTTTGCAATCTTGCCACATTTCTGCAGCTACACACATTTAAATCTTTAAGACTGACGATGCAGGTGAGCAGTCAGAGTTTCAGGGTCAAAGTGCATCAGGTGGCTTTGTTTCTGATGTGATGCTGCTTTGCTCAAAAAGTCTGTCAGCCCGGCAGGTCAATCGACCGCCTGTCAGACTGTGAAGAATGTAGGTCAGTGTCGGTTCAGATCCCAGTCAAACAGCCAAACAAATGCTACCAAAACAAGTTAATTTAATAAAACTCTCTGCGTCCCTTCCTCTCTTCCCTCGTGTCACATTAGGCTCTTCTAATTACACAATTTGTTTACACCGTCGTCCTTTTCTGGCTTCAGTGAGGGCCACATATAACAATCACTGTCCAATCAAAGGACACATGAAACGCTCCTCTTCATTTCTCCGTTTGCCTGCAAATGTGATTTTTATTTCTTCCTTACAGGCAGGATTGTGAGGCTCCAGGGGCCGTCAGCACTTTCTCAGGAAACATTAAACACTTGTGACAGCTTGTTATCAAACCAGCACTAGAGAGGAAGAAGGGGGAGGAAGAGGAGGGTGGATACTGAGGAAGAGAAGCAGGGTAACCACTACTTCCTGTTTTGTGACTGTGGGAAATCAAAGTGGGAAACAGAGAGTCTGAGAATCAGGGAAGGGAGAAAGAGAAATGAGTGTTTACAAGGAGAGTAAATAGAGAACTGGAGAGAGGATGGAAGTGTGCAAAGACTTGAGAGAAATGGTGCACTTGCTGGGGCTATTTTACAATCACTTGTTTTAAACACCAAAGGAGATAGTAATGTTTATAACAGCAATTATATGCAGCTACTGACGTCCAATAACGCACAGCACAGGAGCTACAAGAGACTGGATGTTTATAATAATATATATAATAGCTCAATAGGCTACAGAAAAATGAGATTCAACAGTGTGCTAATATGCTACTGCGACAGATTTGAAAATGCACGTTTCTAGTTGTTGAGCAAAGTCAAATGTATATTTCTTAAAGGTCTCCTATTATTATACTATATTATATTACACATACTCTCTCCAGTACAGGTTAGCTCTGAGTGTTAGCGATGCTAATGTAAAAAAAAAACATATTACTTCCAGAACACGTCGCGCATTGTTTCTGACAGCAACGTTTCTGATAGGGCCGTGGGCGTAAAGCCCGCCCACATTTCAGATATTACGTCATATCGGACGCAAATCTGGATCAGCTCTATTTTTAGAGATGTGGGTACGGAGGAAAATAGAGAGGGTTTTATTTCCTGACACACCGGGGACACATATTTATGTAGAAAAGTAGGTGACCTTTAAGGCTGTGTATCTATGCGGATACTTCCCTTAGTACACTGCTATATTGTACACTTATGCAGAGTGTGAGTTTATACTTGCACATGGCTTCTGTGCCCTCAACAGAGTAGACAATCAATGCTGGCAAGGAATGTTTTTCCTGCAATTTGTGGGACACACTTCTGCACTTAAAACCGCAAATGACTCCTAACGAATCCCCATGCTGCTCTTTCACTTTCTGATGTGGAAATAAGTCATTGTTGCTCACAAGTTTGTCGTGTATGAAGCTAACGTACCTTCAGGATTCTTCATGGTTGATTGCACGTATTGTAACTTGCTTTGGATGTACCACGCTCACCATGTCACCTTATAAGATGATGATGTGTCAGTGTTGAGTTCATGACCTGCTTCCACCCATAATCTCACATAACAGACTTTGAATTGACTAATCCTTGCAACGAGTTTCAAGACTCAAGATTCAAGGCTTTATTGTCATTTTCACATTAGCTAAAGTGAAGATATGTCAATGAAAAACTGAAGTCACAGGCTCCTCCAACAGAGCAATATATATAGGACATAGAACAAAAAGAATAGTGCAAAAGATGGGGGTCTTTTATAATCCTGTCTATCATCTTTTGACCTGTCACATGTGCACCTTTCTTATTGCTTATTTCTTTTGTGCTTTAGTCTTTTTGTGTAGCACTTTGCACAAACCCTAAACAACCTCTCAAGGTCACTCAGGTGCACACTTTCCTGCTATTTTTTTAATATAATCTAAAGCAGCATGAACCTTCCCTGACAGCTTTTAACATATCTTCAATCCAAGAGCAACACTTTCTCTGTCCAGCTGAGCAAACTGTAGACCCTGCCACATAAAATCATAGGATGGATATTTGTAATTCTCTGCATGCCTGCCACTTAATGTTTCTCCTCGTCTGTGCAGCTGCAATCTCAGCTGTGTTAATCTCATAGATGATTACAATGACTGTGAAAAGAAGCACATGTTGCTGTTGGATGTTTGCACGACACAAAGACCTCGTCTCTGTGGGAAATATTTCCTTTTCTGTTCTCTGTTTGTCGGACAAAGTGATTTCTCAGCTGTTATCAGAAGGCATTGCCTCTCTGTTTGCATGTAGCCACACTGCAGCTAATGTTAGCGATACCCTCCACATACTGAGATTTATTTTTAGTCCTGGTTCTGTGCCATATGTCCTCGTTAGTGTTTATCATATTTATTTAGCCTGGTCCTGTTGTTACGCCACTGCCGGACACATTATGTTTTAAGGTTATCTGTACCATTGTCGTGAAGGTGATATCTCAGGAATGCATTAAGAGAATTTACTTCAAATTTGGCACACATGTCACCTTAAAGAGTAAATTGATTGGGGGTCAAAGGTCATTTGCTAAATATGACAATTTCTCACAATGTATAAAAATACATTTTGGACTAATAAGGATTCAAACTGCAACATGAGTAGTTTGTGGAGTCATACAAAGACATGGCAGTATTTA